AGGATGGAGAAGACATGGGCGGAACGTGGGTTGGTGCACAGATAAAAAGGAAAGGTATGAAAAAACACAGGTCTGGGACTTAGTTGTAAGATGGGAGATGCTCAAGGAGAATGAGTTTAGAGGGGGAGGAAGGCAAGAATAGGACCTAGGGATAGTCCCAGATAACTCATGAATGATGATGAGGCATTAGCCAAGGTGGCTTGGAAGTGATAGCTTTCAGAGATGTAAGAGAACCAAATGTAGTCTTACTGTAACTAGGGAAGAATTTTAAGGAAGATCACGAGAGAGGAGGAGGGTGAGAGTTACAGTCAGAAAGGTCACTTGATTGATATGTGGGGGTCAAAAAGAATGAGGGCGTTAAATAGACTGTCTGGTTCTAGACTAAGTTAACTTAACCATAGTGCTATACCATTTAAAGCAAGAGGTTAGAAAGGGAAAAATGTAGAGAAATGGGAAATTCAAGGTTGATATTGGGGAGAGGATTAATACTTTTGTTACAGGATAGCTACATTATGAAAACTTTTTACTGTAAACTATGTGGAAGAATGTGACTTGGCTCATGGTGCTGCCAAATTCACTTAGTCATGGACTCTGGCTTTGAAAAAATATGAAGAAGTCTTTGTGACCTCTGGTTCGTTGTCTGCTACAGAAGCTTAACTGTAGAGATTGACACCTGTCTTAGTCTGTTCAGGCTGCTGTAACAAAATACCTTAGGCTGGCTGTTTTATAAAGAATGAACATTTGTATCTCACAGTTCTGGAGGCTGGAAAGTTCAAGATTAAGATGCAGTGGATTCAGAGTCTGTTAAGGAGTCACTCTCTACTTCCAAGACAGTACCTTGTTGCTGTGCCTTTGCATAGTGGGAGATGAATGCTATTTCCTCACATGCAAGGAGGGCTAAAAGGGGCATACTTGGTCCCTCAAGACACTTAATAAAGGCAATAATCTGATGGGACCTTCATGGTCTAATAACCTCCTAAAGACCCCACTTCTTAATACTATTGCATTGAGGATTCAGTTTCAACAAGAATTTTGGAGAAACACAAACATTCAAACCATAGCAATACAAAAGGAAAGCTACTATAAGTCATAGGATCATGAACTCTCAGAGATGGAAAGGGTCATTTTACAAAGGGCCAAACGGAGGCCCAGAGAGACTCATGCATTTAGACCACATGGGCTGCACTGAAGAAAGTCATTTTTAACACAGTCTAATGTCATGGAACCAGAAGAGCTGTCTCTCTCTCTTTTGTACATAATCTTGACTTCTTCAGAACTGGGATTGATCTTTCTAATGCAGGACAGTAGGAAGCCCAATACAAGACTCGATAAATGTTGGGTGATTTAATACACAAATGGTGAGGAAGAGGTGATGAGTCTGACAGCCTGGGCAGCACAGACAGACCCTGTCTCATGTGTATATACATATTTACATATATATACACACACATATATATTTATGTATGTTTTTAATATATTTATATGCAAATATATATTTTTAAATAGCTAGGAGTGGTTGTGCATGCCCATAGTCCCAGCTACTTGGGAGGCTGAAGTGGGAGGATCACTTGAGCCTTGGAGGTTGAGGCTGCAGTGAGCTGAGATGGCACAACTGCATTCCAGCCTTGGTGAAAAAGTGAGACCCTGTCTCAAAAATAAATAAATAGGCTTTTCTGGGGGTAGCCACAGCATGCATAGTGGGAGCAAATGGTGCTGATGGATAGTGAGGCTCGGTGATGAATCAGTTGGAAAGATTTTGAGCTCAAGAAACAGAAAACTCAACTTTCTTTGGTTGAAGCAATAAGGATGTTTATTGACTTGCAGAACCAGAAATTTAGGTGCAAGGTAAGCTTTATAGTTGACCAAATTTTGTAGCTCTGTGCATTTCTCAGCAGTTCTCTTGGCTCTGTTTCCTGTGTGGAGCGGTTTCACACTCAGGTGAGTATGGAGAGGCCGTAGTTCTCCTCACATCTCACATCTACTCATAATGACACCAAAGGACAAGAGAGAGGACTTTTGGAAGCTCTCCCAGAAGATGGAGGATGAACCCTTTCAACTCTTGTCCTTGCTTTCTCTTGGTCTGTTTACTAAACAGCAACCAAAGGGAGCCTGTTGAAACATAAGCCAAATCATGACACTGTTCTGCTCAAAACCCTCCAGCAGCCTCTGTATAAAAGCTGGAGTCCTTTCCAGACCTACAGTGCCCAGCAAGATGGGCCTCAGTGTCTCCTCTTTGACTTCTTCTTCTGCTCTTGTCCCTCTTGCCCACTCTACTCCAGCACACTGACCTCCCTGCTGCTCCTCAAACATGCTAAGCCCATCCTGCTCCAGGACCCTTTTCTTGAAATGATCTCACTACAGACTTCATTATGACAAATCCCTCACCTTCCTCGAATAGACTTCCCTGAGGACCCTATTTAAAAATGCAGCCCTTGGACTTGCATGCTTTCCATCTCTGCTTTACTTCACCTTGTTTCACTGATCATCGTCAAATACTATACATATTTTATGACTTATTTTGTTTATTGTCTGTGTCTCTTCACAGAGTCATGACTTCTTTCTTTTCCCTGCCGCATAATTTCTATATTCCCAGCATTTAATAGCAGTGCCTGGAACATAGTAGGTGCACAATAAATATTTGCCAAATAAATAAACAAAGGTCTCTCCCAAGCTTCTCCTTTTCTTTCTTTGGTTCAATTTGGTCACCTTTCCTGAGTCAATCGTTGCAAGGGTTTTTGGGATTACTTCCAAAGCAATCAGGCTTATCCCCAGAGCTGGGGGTGGGGTTGGTTTCCTGTGAAACACATGGCTTCATGCAGACCTGGACAAAATCTGGATTCTTTTAGGAAGAAGAAGAGGAGGAAATGTGTTGGTTAGGCCACCCACAGTGTCAACTGCAGATGGTGCTATCTCTTTCTGAAGGCCTCACTGTGGCCTCCTGTGCATGTCCCACCTCCCCCTCAGAGTGCTTTTCACTGTCTGAGTGAAAAGATGAGCACAATGGTGAGGACCTTCCCTCTGCGATGTACTGTTAGGAACAGATGGGGAGATGACAAGGGGAAAAGAAGAAAAGTTGCAATGAAAAAACACCTTTGAGAAGCAGCAGTAAAGTCTGCAAAATGAAAAAATCACACGCAAACCCCAGATTGCAACTTCCGAGGTGCTAATGGCAATCCCAAGGAAGCAATTTTCTTGAATGACAGTCTAATTTTACCATTAGTGCAGAGAGACCCACTTAAACATAGGAGCTCCTCTGCATAGGCTTCTGCATGGTAACGTCTGTGAGTGATAAAGATCTCAGATGTCCACTTCTGCCTGGAAGCATAGCATGGTACCCTGTGAGGAGCTCTGGTGTGTGGGACCCTGAGCCTGCCTTGGGAACCACCATCAAAGCTGGGGCTCATCCTAACAGCTCAAGCACCATTAGCAGCTAGTGTTTGTGAGGACATTCACTTTTGCTCAGTAATGGCCATAGAGAGAGAGGATCTAAAAGAAGCTAAACTCATATCACGAATGGCTCCATTCAGTACCAGAGAAGGTTCAGCATATTCATTCTTTGATTTCATAGTAGATTATTCAATACCTGCTATGCAGTAGACATGATTCTAGGCACTGAGGATACACTCTTGCCCCTCTACAAAAGCAGCCAGGGTGCTCGTGTAAAATGAAAACCCAAATCCTGTCCCCTGCTTAGAAGTCTCCTTATAAGGATTCTATGTCTCTTTATCACACTGAGAAGAATCCCCAAATCCCATAGGCGGCTCCTGCCCACCTTGTCTCCTTGTCTCCTGCCCACCTTGTCTCCTTGTCTCCTGCCCACCTGGCTGGCCTTGGAGGTTCCTGTGCTCCAGTGTTACCCTGGCCACCCTCTTTCTGCTGCTCTCCCTCTTTCTGCTGCTCTCTTACTCCGTGCTAGTTCCTGCCACAGGTCTTTTGCACCTTTTGGTTCTGTCTCTTGGAGCATGCCTCCCTTACATGTACTCATGGCCAACCTCTCCTTATGCAGCTCCTGCTCAGTGCTATGCTCTCAAAGATGCCTTGCTTGACTAATGCTATACCATACACCAGGGGTGGCATTAAACATTTCTGACAACAGGGTCGGTACACTCACTAGGTAATCCAAACAGATGCTAGCCATTTACAACTGGGACAGCATGTGTGTATACCGGCTGAATGCCACCCAATCACACACAACTTCCCAGTCAGTAAATCAGCCAGTGACATTCATTTCTGTCATACTACCTGCCAGTCTCTGACATTGTCTTGGTGGGGTTGTTTTACTCTCCCTTTTCTCCCCACTTTCTATTTCTTTTTTTTTTTTCTTTTCTGTTTTTTCTTTGAGACGGAGTCTTGCTCTGTCACCCAGGCTGGAGTGCAGTGGCGCGATCTCGGCTCACTGCAAGCTCCGCCTCCCAGGTTCATGCCATTCTCCTGCCTCAGCCTCTCACTTTCTATTTCTTAATTGCATACACCAATTAAAGGAAGAGTTTGTCTGTTTTGTTCCTTGTGCATTACAGCACTGGCAGTGGCTAGTTCTGAGCTGGGCACAAAGTGGGCTCGCCATAAACATTTGTTGAATGAAAGACCAAAGCATCCCAGCTCTCAGGCAGTTTACATTCTGTGAGATAGGATTAGTGGTGGCAGTTTCAGAGGTGCGCACCTGGAAAACTGAATGGACTTAGAATTCTGAATTCTGAAATCAGAAAGTAACTCTGAATTGGAGTGAATAATCACGACCCTGTGAGCGCCTGGGAGAAGGCAGATCTGCATAGCTTCTGGAATGATAAATCTGGGGCAATGTCTTCAGGATAGATGATCTACAGAAAAGGCTATAGTTCCTGAGGACTCTTGCCACATTAGTCTGACCCTGAACTTCAACAGCACTCACTGTCTTCCTGCAGTGTTGGTCTTTTCGTAGTCTGAAATGAATACAGCTCTTGATAGCTTAAACACCATCTTTAATAATCCTATCTAGAATGTATTATTTAATTCTTTTTAAAAAAAATATGAAATGTTTCACAAATTTGCATGTCATCCTTGTATAGGGGCCATGCTCGTCTTCTCGGTATCATTCCAATTTTAGTATATATGCTGCCAAATGATGCCCTTGTGAGACAGGTAGGTGAAATTAGCTTCGTTTTGCAGACTAAGAAACTGAGAGCTGAGCACAGTGGTGTGCATCTGTAGTCCCAGTTATTCAGGAGGCTGAGGAAGGAGCATCACTTGAGCTTCCGAGTTCAAGGCCAGCCTGGGCAACAGAGTGAGACCCCCATCTTAAAAAAAATAATCCAAGAAACTGAAACCCAATGAGATTAGATGACTAGCCCAAGGACATAGAATGAGGCAGAGGCAGAGGCAGAGGCAAAGCCCAAGCATTGTAGCATTGTATTTCCACTGCACCCAAATGTGAGCTTTTTTTCTGAGATGGAGTTTCGCTCTCGTTGTCCAGGCTGGAGTGCAATGGCGCAATCTCAGCTCACTGCAACCTCTGCCTCCTGGGTTCAAGCGATTCTCCTGCCTCAGCCTCTGGAGTAGCTGGGATTATAGGCATGTGCCACCATGCTGGGCTAATTTTTGTATTTTTAGTAGAGATGGGTTTCACCATGTTGGTCAGGCTGGTCTAAAATTCCAGACCTCAGGTGACCCACCCGCCTTGGCCTCCCTGCTGGGATTGCAGGTGTGAGTCACCGAGCCTAGCCACATTAGGGCTTTTAGGGTGTTCGTCACCTAACTGATCCATTTCTGGTCTTCTCTAGGGAGATGTTTATTTTGTTTTCAAGTGAGGCTCGAGTGAGAGTGGTTTGTGAGCCAACCACAGCACTGTCTTGACTGGATATACCATTTGATGCCATTTTGAAAATCCTCCCATAGTTTTAAAATTGACTTTATATTGGGATAATTGTAGATCCACATGCATTTGTAAGAAATAATAGAGTGATCTCATATGCCCTTTATCCAATTTCTCCCAATGATAGCATTTTGCAAAACTACAGTACCATAGGATATTGACTCTCACATTTTTAAGAGAATTTTAAAAAATGCACTCAGGGAGTTCAGGGGCCAGGGCACACACCTCTGTCCTTAGGCTGTGCCAGCGCTGCCCTGTGGGCCCAGAGTCAGGAGCTTGGGAGGCAATCTGACCTGCCTCTGCCACTGCTCCTTGTGCAGGCTCCCTGGGGCTCAGCTTCCCCACCAGTGTGGCCAATGTGAGCTTCTTGATGGCAGGGGTCATGTGTCTCTTGCCTTGTCTCTGGTGCCTTGAATGGGGTAGACTCAAGTAGACTTCCTGCTTCCACAAACTCATTAAGGAAAGTGGACAGAGCCATGGAGCCTCCACATGGTGGGTATATGTCAAGGAAGCAGCATAGACAGGTTCTGGGTGACCTTGGGCAGATTTCATCCCTTCACAAGCCTTAGCTTTCTTAGCTATAAAATGAAGGGCTGGATAATGTCCATAAGAATCTTTCCAGTTTTGATGTAGGATTCTGTGATGTCAAAAATAAGAGCGATTGTATTATTGCGAATTGAAAAATAATTATCTTTTATGTGCCACATGTAACTTTCTATTTCTCAAGCTACCTGTTATATAGCGTCAACATTGCCTCATATATCAGAAACTGCTGTAATAAGTATGCAATTTGTAGCTGCAATTTCCATTTTATGGCAATATCTGATTTACACGAGGTGTTTTTAAAGCGTGTCACTTATAATGTACACACCTGCCAAGAGCCTGCTCTTTCATAATGACTTTTCAGCGAGGTCAGAGAAAGCACCCAAATTCAAGTAAACAAACAGCAGGCAAGCTTTCAACATGAAAGCTGCTTTTCCACCATGGGGAAGGATGCTGTCTCTCAATAGAGGATGGTGACAAATCTCCCATATTCAGACCTGCTTAGGTGAATCAGGACTGAACCCCTTTCTAACAGGTGCTCTCAAACTCCAATTGAAGAAGAGGAGAGCGATTCACAAGCCTGTGTATGCACCAGGTGAGGGGCTGTTTATGGAAAATTAGTTAGCTAAGAATCAATTCACTGAATGACCAGTTCATTAAGTGTTCAATCCATTGATCATTTTGATAGAAATTTGAAAATGAATATTCAAGAGGAGGAGGCAGAAGCAGGGTAATAGGTAGGGGCATCTAGAACACAAAGTATGAATTTGGTAAATTTTTAAACTGTTTATTGAACTTTTGGAAAATTGGTTATTTTGCATGTTCGCTGTTGATGGATTGATTTTTGGTAAATTTGTTTCTGGAGGATCAGTTCAGCCTGTTGGAGATCTGAAAACTTTACCTTTTAGTGTTAGTGATGCAGATTTTAGGCTCACTTTGTCCATCCCTCTGCGGCCAAGCAGAACATCCCTGAGCCAGCTTGATCCCAGGAAGAGAAAGAGGCGTAGTAACACAGGTTGTGCATGATGGACCTAATCTTTGTCTAATCCTGGCACACCTTGAGTGAAAAGGATTTTGAGAAATCTCTCTCCTTAATTCTTGCAGGAATTTGTGGCCTTTGAAGCAAAGCCAAGCAGACACAAGCTTCATGTAAACTTGATCCTCTTGCAAGCCTCTGAAGCCTTTTCAGCCAGCCCTTAAACACCACTGCTCATATAGTTATGCTACCAGGATTTTTTTCCAGCTTCTCACGCTAGTGCAATAATGGTGAAAGCACTCAGGGACCAGGAAAAATAAGGGCAGTAAGGATGTCTTCAGATAAAGCATCTGCTGACCCAGCCTCCTTGGATGCCATGAGGTCCGGTTAAACAACTTGACACGATTGGCTGCCCACCAGGACAAAGACTGGCTGAGAAGAGGATGGATTTCTGCTCCAGTGATTTGGCCACTAGTTCAAAATCTTCCTAAAGGTCAGTCATCTGGCTAGGATTTCTTCTTGAGCCTTGGCTGGCTTGTACAGCTTCTATTTGAGGCAGACTGGCCTTTGAAGCTTGTAGCGCAGGCCTGCAATGCCCTACTAGTCATGGCCCCAGGGCCAGCACAGAGCTAGACTTGGTAAATAGGCTTAATAAAGATTTATAGAATGAATGCTAGCCTTGAACAGCATGTGGCCAGCCAAGTTTCTGTCTTTCTCCTGTCACTCGTGGTGACTTTATTGCAGTGGAGGACTTTCTTGGCCCAGTTACATGGTGTAAGAAATTACAAGGGACTTCTCATTCCTGTGATGTGACCCATTTCCTGGTGGTGTGGCACTGCCCATCATGCCCTTGAATATGCCACCTTCTGAGCTAGGAAGTCCTTCTCCTTATCTATTAGCTTGTCTGAACTTCTCCGTCTTTGACACCCAGCTCAAATGTTATCCTGGGTGTAACACCTTCCCAGTTCCTCCAGCTCAGATTTATTTTGAATTGTAATTGTTTCTGCATGTCAGTCACCTACTATATTGTAAAACCTTCAGGGACAGACTCTTATCTTTATTCTCATTTATTCATTTACTTGTTTAGAAACAGTGTAACTCAATGGTTAAGGGCACAAACTATGGATTTATAGTTTAGGTTGATTGTGCAACTTACTGATTATGTAATTTACAGTGAGTGGCAAACTCTTTAAACTATCTTTTTTCCTTCCTTCCTTCCTTCCTTCCTTCCTTCCTTCCTTCCTTCCTTCCTTCTCCTTCCTTCCTTCCTTCCTTCCTTCCTTCCTTCCTCCTCTTCCCTTCCTTCCTTCCTTCCTTCTTCTCTCTCTTTTCTTTTTCTTTCTTTCTTCCTTCTTCCTTTCCTTTCCTTTCCTTTCCTTTCCTTTCCTTTCCTTTCTTTCCTTTCCTTTCTTCTCCTTTCCTTTTCCTTCCTTTCCTTTCTCTCTTTCTTTTCTTTTCTTTTCTTTTTCTTTTCTTTTCTTTTCTTTTCTTTTCTTTTCTTTTCTTTTTTTTCTTTCTTTCTTTCTTTCTTTCTTTCTTTCTTTCTTTCTTTCTTTCTTTCTTTCTTTCTTTCTTTCTTTCTTTCCTCTTTCTCTCCTTCTTTTACTTTTCTTTTTTTTTTTTTTGAGACAGAATCTCGCTTTGTTGCCCAGGCTGGAGTGCAGCGGCAACTTCTCGGCTCACTGCAACCTCCATCTCCCTGGTTCAAGAGATTCTCCTGCCTCAGTCCCTTGAGTAGCTGGGATTACAGGCACACACCACTACGCCTGGCTAATTTTTGTATTTTTAGTAGAGATGGGATTTCACCATGTTAGTCAGGCTGGTCTTGAACTTCTGACCTCAAGTGATCCACCCACCTCAGCCTCCCAAAGTGCTGGGATTACAGGCATGAGCCACCATGATAGGCCTCTATTTTTCTTATATGTAAGGATGAATATTGTGATAGTATTTTGTTTTAGGGCCTTTGGAAGAATTAGACAGAGCATTTATTGGGCACTTACTATATGCCAAGCATTATGCTGATAATAGTAATTAATATGATTATTGATATAGCCAATGTTTTTTTTTTGGCACAAATACTGGGGCCTGATATTGTTCTAGGTGCTGCCTCTAGGATCTAGCAAGACGTTTTGTATAGAGTTGGGCCTTGGCAAATGTTCACTGAATGAGTAAAGCTAGAACAAGTTGTGGACTTAGTTTGTAAATCTTTGTATCAGTCAAATAAGCTGGATTATGCTGTGTAACAAATATCTCATCCCCAACATCTCATGGGCTTATTTTAACTTTAACAAAAATGTATTTATTGCTCCTCTTATATGGTTAGTGTGGGATAGCTGCAATGCTCTTGTCTTCAGAGGTCAGGTGGTTTCATCTCAACAGATGCTTTCATGATCTCTGTGGCAGAGGAAAAGAAATGGTGTGCACTGGGTCTTAAAGTGACACATACCATCTCTGCTTACATCTTTTTGGCTAGAGAAAGTTACATGGCCTTGTCTAACTTTAAGGGGAGAGAGAATTGCAATTGTAATCCTACTCTGTACCCAGAAGGAGAAAACCCATGATATTTGCAAATATCCTTCATGGCTACCACAGGATGGAAGCTGATGATATAATCTTCTAACACACAAACCAGTTTTGGCCTACAAAGACCTCCCTGTTCAAAGTCAGTGTCAGCAGCTACCCTCAGGGTTCTGGTTTGGAATTAAGTTTTCAGACTAGGTATTTTTTTTTTCTTCT